AGAACTGAACTAGAACTGAACTAGAACTGAACTAGAACTGAACTAGAACTGAACTAGAACTGAACTAGAACTGAACTAGAACTGAACTAGAACTGAACTAGAACTGAACTAGAACTGAACTAGAACTGAACTAGAACTGAACTAGAACTGAACTAGAACTGAACTAGAACTGAACTAGAACTGAACTAGAACTGAACTAGAACTGAACTAGAACTGAACTAGAACTGAACTAGAACTGAACTAGAACTGAACTAGAACTGAACTAGAACTGAACTAGAACAGAACTAGAACAGAACTAGAACAGAACTAGAACTGAACTAGAACTGAACTAGAACTAGAAAACTAGAACTGAACTAGAACTGAACTAGAACGAACTAGAACTAACTATAACTGAACTAGAACTGAACTAGAACTAACACAGTACTGAAACTTGAATTAAGAAATGAAACCGCTCAGAATCTCAGCCTTCGATATTCATACATTCATAAGTGAATTTAAATTGTTCCGTTACTTACCCTTTTAAAATTTACCAATTAAATAAATAGTTAATTAATATATTTTAATTTAATAAATCTTTGTTTTATTATTAAACATTTTGCAATTTTTTTATTCAATTTATAGCTATTTAAACATTTCTTTTTTGAAACACTTTGTGCTTGAAAAAAATAAATAAATATTATTAATCATGTGCTTAGCTGAGCAAGTGATGCATGAAACCGTAGTGTGAAAGATGAATTATGATGTTTTTGTGTGATGGTGATGATGATGATGATGTGCAGCATTGACGTTGACAAAGATAATCGTGTCATATTTGATTTAATTTATTATGAAAAAATCTGATTATATTTAGTGAAATCCATCAAATGTTTTTATTTTATATTTTAATAATAGATAGTTTGAAAAATGATAAATTTTAAGGTTTTAATATAGATTATTATTTTCAATTAGGTCAATTTATGGCAATGAACGTTTATTATGGAAATTGAGATAAATTGAAAGTTATTTTAAATCATGTTATTTTTCGGTATTCGTTTAATAAAAAAAATATTTTAACTAAGCTATTGAAACCCTTTAACTATTGTTAACTCTTTTTTAAAATATTTACACAAATGGTTACTAATATCAAACAGAATGGTTGATATCAGTGACCATTAGTGGTCATGTGTTAAATGGCACTACGTATTTGTTCTTCTTTCGAACCCAATGTTCGAATGGAGATGGATTATCACGCTCAAGCTCTACCCAAAAGCAACGAAGAAAATCTGTTGTGAGTTTCAAGAGATAAAAATACTGATTTGAGAGAGAAGATAGACCAACTACCGTTAAGTTTAGTCCATCAAAAGGTAATACTGAGCCTTCTGCAGCTCCTTAAACTTTCACTCTGCATGTTTAAGTGTGAATGAGTGATTTTCAACTACGAAGGCAAATGAAGAAGAGTTCCTAAGAAGCTATGATGAAAGCTGTCGTAACTCCCAAACCGTTGACCTTATTTCGGTTTCTTTTTGGAAATTTTTAGCAGAATTAAAGTAAATTCAACATGTTTGCTTGAATTATATGTCCAGATGGCAAATTAGAATAATGGAAGGATGTAGGTCCACTAAGATCCTATGGGGTGACCCAAAACGGAGAAGAAAAGTGTAAAGTCCAAGGCACAACTATAGAACTTTGGACTAGCGGATTCAGACGAATATATAAAATGCATAGAGAAATTCTGGACTAAATAAGTAACATTCGTAGGTGTGAGACTTTTTATTGTATATTAAAAATCTCCTCAGACCTGCACTCAAGATTTTCTATTAGCCCTTCCGGCTTCCACTTCATAGTGTTAAACCCATTAAGCTAAAAGATAACTATGGTTGTTAGTATTTCCTAGGCATATAGTGCGAGAGAGAAGTTCACCTTGATGTCTAGATATCCAAATAGATGGGACTATACATCTTCGAAGATGATTTGACTTCGACGAAACAAGTGACTTTGGACCTACCGGTTCTTCCAAAGAAATACATTTAGGATTTATCAGGTCCGTTATGGGCTCCCTTATATTTGTATTTAATTTCGAATGCCTGGCAACTAAATAAAGGTAGTGTTCCAAAGTTTCATTATCCTCTCTGCACGCTGTAAATTTGTCTGAATCCACTCGACCAATGTTGTATTGCTGAGCCCACAGTTCTCAAAATATGTAGCCCTGTTGGATAATTCTACCAAATTGAAAAATAATAACAACAATAACATCAACAATCTATAATGAATACATTGAAGGATATACGAAAACATCTCACTTCTCTGATGGCAATGCCCAGCCAGGCTTTGTGCTATACGAATGGATCTAAAATGGGACTTGGAAGATTACTAGACTAGAGAAGTTTTGCGGGGAAAATTGTTTAATAAACAGTTAATTAAGCGTTAACAAACGTAATGAATACCTCGGACATTCTGATTACTTTGGGATACCGAATTTCGAATGGTCAGCGTATTAATACACCTTGACCTAGTTAATCTGTACCCTATCCAAGCCATTTTGTGACATGAATAAACCTGTTTATCTTTCGGATATTCACCTTGGCTTAATTCGTTAAGTCGTACAGAAAATGCAGAACTAGAGCGATCAATCGGGCCGGGGAATTGACAGAGACACGACTTCTTCTGTAAAAGTAATTTCTTGGAAGATTCTATATTCTGACATTAATCGCAAGGGGTCAGTTACGATTGCAATTGTATTCGGTAAATGATAATTGATTGAAATCCTTATATTCGATGGAACCTGAACTGGTAAGGATGTTTTAAAGAAACTTTCATCTTTTGTTTTAGAGCCATCAGGGTTAATCTTATTCGAGTCATGGAAGAGGTTTAATTTCAACTCATCCGGATTGATTTTCGCGAGAGAATATGTAATTGTATTATCAGGTATGTGTTTATGACTCCGGAACCAATACAGTCCTATTGTGGAATGTTTGAACATCTTGTAAAGAGATGTACGACATTCAAGGACCAAGTTTAATGTTATATAAACTTAATTTCTAGCCCTTAGAGTGGCTTGATCCTGAATGATAAGTGTCTGACGTCATTAATGCCTTATATTTGGTGGAATCTGAATAGGTGAAGATGTTTGAAAGAAACTTTCATCTTTTGTTTGAGAGCCATCAGGGTAAATCTTATTCGTTCCATGGCTTAATTCCAAGTCAACTGGATTTAGTAATTGTATTATCAAGTATCTGCTTAGGACTCAGGAACCAGTACAGTTCTATTGTGGAATGTTTCAACATCTCGTTAAGAAATGTCCGACATTCAAGGACAAAGTTTAATGTTATATAAACACCATTTATAGGATGTTCAAATGAAAGTGACATACTCAATGCTATACATTCGCTGGAACCTGAACTGGCGAGGATGTTTGAAAGAAACTTTCCTCATATATAGCACACATCATACTTTGATTGACAGTCAACTATTTAAACTTTATTCGATCCATGACAGAGAATCTCATCTGGATTTTGTTACTTCAATACGAATAAGTAGAAGTATCTGTTGGTCAGGATGTTTGAAAGAAACTTTCACTCCCCTGTGCGCTACATAGAAGCACTAAACCCACAAACACATCATACTTTATTTGAGAGTGAACTATTCAAACTTTATCCGATCTATGGATCTATGTTGAATCAATGCGAATATGTTGAAGTATCTGTTAATGATTCGTAAACCAATACCGTCCTATTGTGAAATGTTTCGTTATCTCGTTATGATATGACAAGTTTAAGTCATATGCCACGCCCTCTAATCGCAGAAATCATTGGGTTTTAAACATTTTGCTAATATTTCAAACATCTCTAGTGGATAAAGTTGAACGTGACTAGCGGGTGACATCCTCAATGCTGGAACCTGAACTGGTTAGGATGTTTGAAAGGAACTGAGCTACATAGGAGACATTACCCACACACATCATAAGTACTTTGTTTGAGATTCAACTATTCAAACTTTATTCTATCTAAGTTAGAGGATTAATTACATCTCTTCTCGATTTTGTTGGATCAATACGTATAAGTTGAAGTTTCTGTTGATGATCCGTAAACCTATACAGTGCTATTGTGGAATGTTTCGCTATCTTGTTAAGAGATGAGTACGGACAAAGTTTAATATAGGAATCTGAACCTGATCAGGATGTTTGAAAGAAACTTTTCTTCCCGTGTGCGAGCTATATAGAAGCTAACAACCAAACACCATCCTTAATTATTCGATCCATGACGGAGAAGTCTTAAACAAAAGTTAAAAACAAATTTCTTCTAGACTATTGAGTATGAACGTATGACAAGTTTAGGCGTATGCCACGCCCTCTAATCGCATTGGGTTAATATTTCAAACATCTCTAGTGTATAAAGTTGCAATTTTTAGTCTAATTATCAGTCAGACGGCTACTACTACTACTAATCAGTTTAACTACATTAATTGGTAAACTATAATGAGTTTAACTACAGTTTAAACTAAGTTTAGCATCCTCATTACTTTCAACATAACTACAAAACTCAAATTAGTTAAAGGGTTTCCAAAGAACAAAAGAAAAACTGAAAAAAATTCTAAAAATAATAAAAACTCAAAATTGTTTTAAATTTTTTCAATCAATAGATTTTTAATTTTTTGTCAAATTTTTTAGGGATTTTGTTTTTTCAAATTTCTTTCCAATACTTAAATAACTACAAGATCATTTGCTTAAAATTACTTAAAAAATTTTTAAGTTAAAAATTATAAAAAATAATTAATTATAATACACAAAGGAAAAACATAAACTATTCAGTCTTTAGATTTATACAATTAAAAAAAGAAAAATAATAATAAATTATTTACAGGCATTTAAATAAGACAAAAAACATAAACAATTGTTTAAATAAATAATAATAACAAAATGGGGTTTTAAGGAAAATAGTTTTTTAACAAAAAAAATCTAAAATTTTTGTTACAACAGTTTTTTGACTTTTTGCTGCTAGTTTTTTCTAGATATTTTTCCATTTTGTTTAAACTTTTCTTTTCTATTTACAAAACTTATTTACACTTTTTTTGTTGTTTTGGATAAAACTAAATAAAAATTCTAATACAAATTTCCATTTTTGGGGGGGATGGAAATTGTATAAAAATCTCCTTTAACCAGCTAATCATACAGTTATGATGTCTGTTAAATCACTTGAGGTTTTTGCTGATGTTGTACACGTCTCTAATTGGGGCATAGTAATGCTAACATTATCACATGTTGTCAAAGGCTGTGATAGTAGAGACATATTAGCAGCCACCTGATAGGAGGGAGGTAGCAAAAGTGAAGCAGAGGCTGAGTTAGCTGTAGAGGCTTCTAATGTTAGAGATGGAGACGAGCAGTAGTTGGGAAATGATGATGATGATGTAGATGATTTGTTGCTGTTATTGGTTTGCGAAGATTTACATTTAGTTGCTACTGTTTCGTTTATCTTTTGGTCTTTGCTATTCATGTCGTATTTTTCCCAGGAGCTGATCAAATTTGAGGCTTGATGATGTACAGCAGCCAAAGTGGGATAAATGAATTTCATGCCAAAGGCAAAATGTTGTTGATTGTGGTGTAAAGCTTCATCGTATGAGGGTAGACCGGTGGCAATGGTATAGCAGGGAGGTGATTCCATTTGATAATAGGCTGCTTCAGGGTTATTAGCAGCAGCAGCAGCAGTAGCACAAGGCATAACAGCACCACCACCATACAAATCGTTATTTAAATGAGCGCGAATATCTTTATCTAAAAAGAAAAGCAAAAAAAAACAAAAGAAATTAATATAAAATTTTCAACAAAATTCTTTAAAGTTTAAGTTTAAGCTATAAAAATTCTACTGCCTACTTTTAGGTTTATTATTTTTACAGATATTTTAAATTAACTTTAGGCCTTAAACTTTAACCCTATAAATCTAAAATTTATGTTTAACAAATTCTTTTGTTTATAACGCTAACACAAAAAATATTGTCTATTTTTAGGCAAATTATCAACAGCAACAAAATGTTGGTCATAAATTTTTCTTTAGAAATGACACACACATAAAACAAAGGCTATATAACAAACATAAAATAAAACTAATAAAGCTGTAGCCTTAGGATAGGCAATCATTTTTATGAAGTCAGATAACAGTAAAAAAACCTAAATTGGAAATTTGAATTTAAAAATTCCCCCCCCCCCCCAAAAAAAAAAAAAAAACAAAAATTTGTTTAAATTAAATAAAAGTTTTGTTACTATGAAAGCTTAAAAGCAACAGGTGCTTAAAGTTTAACAAAAGAAAAAGTTTTCTTGAAACCCTAAAAATTAGTTTATAAATAATTGATTTATGTTTGTTTAAAAAGAAAAAAAGTGTCAAAATTTCCTTTACTGCCTAAAAGTATATTAGTTCTTTTAACCCCCTAATATAGGCTCTTAATTACTTTGTTATATGTCAGGTTTTTTTCTCGTACAAAATTTAACGAATATTTATTGCTCTTTTTGAATACTTTCACTGTGTATTTGCCAGCAATAAATAAATAAGTAAGTTTGTTGGTAGCCTGCTTAAAGGCAGAAATTCCTTTTCATATTAAACATTTATTTAGGTGTCAAATGTTTTTTGTGTTCTATTCCTGGCCAACAAACAGGTAGTGTTAGATTAAGGTTTATTTGTAATCAATTAGTTTGTTTTATGTTACATTTTCTTCCTTCTCCAAAAAAGGGGATTAGTTTTGTTTTATGTTTGTTTGTTAGCCTAAAAGTAGGCTTGGTTATAGGTTTAATTAAGTAGTAAATAATGTTAAGGCTGGTGCGTAATTTGTACAGCCAAAAGCTATTGTTAAGTTAAGGTAAAAGAAAAATAACATAATTTTAGGCACATAAAGGATTTGCTAAATGAATAAACTTAAGTTCCACATAAAGCAAACAACCAAAAAAGCCATAAACAGTAAATAAAAATGAAATATTTCAAAATTAAGTTAAAATCTAATTTTCCCATAAAAGTTTTCTTAAGAAAATTTTCTTTTAGAAAAACTTAAATAAAAATCAAAATTAGCTTATTTTCTTATGAAAAATACAAAATTTTTAAAAATTTAAATTTTTTAAATTTTTTTAAGAAAATCTTTTTTTTTTAATTTCCTATAAAAATTTGTATTAATGTAAAGAATATAGTTTATGAAAAATCTAACAAAAATCAAAATTAGCTTATTTTCTTACCAAAATTACAAATTTTAATTTTTGAAATTTTTTTAAGAAAAATATTTTTTCTAAAATTTTACCCTAAAAATAGGCAATATTTTTTTAAAGTGGTATTTTAACAATACTAATAAAAATCATAATTCGAGAAAATTATAAAGAAATTAAAGAAGTTTTTTAAAAATTTTTATGTTTTAAAAATAAAATCTAGAAAATTATTTTCTTTACATAAAGAAAATCCTAAATTTTCTTTGTAAGAAAATGCTTTAGAGAGAAATTATTGAAAATCAAAATTAGCTTAAATTTCTTAGAAAAATACAAAATTATAAAATTTTGAAATTTGTTTAAGTTTTATATAAAAAAATTTAATTTTACATGACAAAAACTCCCAAAAGTAGGCAATATTTTTTGAAATTTAAGAATTTTTAAAAAGTAATAAAAATCAAAATTAGAGAAAAATTCTAGGAATTAAGTAAATATATAAAGTTTTTTGTGGAACTTTAAGAAAAATTTTAAAAAATTTTTGTAATTTAAAAAAATTTAATGAAAATGTTTTAAAATTTATTTTTGGTTTTACATGGTTTCATTTGTTATAATTTTTGTGATATTAACTGGAATTATTAAGTTTTGATTTTTTTAGTTTTTTAGATTTTTTAGAAATATTTTAAAATTTCTTTAAGTTTATAGCGATTTTACCTAAATTTTTTTAAATTTTTTGCTTTTGGCTTAATTTTTTTTTAATTTTCTTCTTTTTAAATAAAATACTTACTGCATTTCTTCCATTCGCGAAACTTCCTATAGAAATAACAGCTGAACAGCACAAATATCACTGTCAACACTATCAGTGAGGTGACCACACCAACCCACAAATAATTGATTAATGAATGCATATCGCTGCCGGAGAAAAATCTCTCTAAACCGCTTAAAGCATTATTTTTCAAATCAGCCATATTTAAAACTGCACTATTTGAAATTTGATCGTGTGTTATGGTCTGACCCATGGAATCTATTAAAATATTAGATTCATGATGTTGAGAACCGGCTGTAATAGTATCGTAGGCAGTATTGCCCACCTGTTCTAGCAATTGTTTAAATTGCATCATATTATCGATATGTTGATTATCATGTTGACTAGGTATGACAAAGGATATTTCCGGATGATCTTTTTGTAACTGAGACATCCACATATCCATAATTGTGGGTGAAGCAGTTAGCGATTCCTCGCCCTCCTGCATTAAGCTGGAGGTTTCTAGGTAATCCGGTCTTAAAGTGGTAATGGGTAAAGCCATATTTGGTTTTTTTTTTTAATAAAGTATTTGGTTGAGTTTTTTTTTTTTTAATAAAACTTTGGTTTGTTTTTGTTAAACACTTTTGTTTATTTTTTATAATTTGAACATAGAATTTTTGTTTAAAATTTTGTTTTGATTTTATTTGAATTTTTTTATTTATAATTATTTTGTTCAAAATTTCTTTAACTTATAATTTCACGTAAATATTTTCTTTTTGTATGTTGTGTATGTGTGTTTTTTATTATATTTTTTATAAATTTCTGTTCCGTTAGTTGTTGTTCGAAAACATGACCGTTTAGTTTGCTGTCTAGAATGAAACTGTTTATAAATTTCAATTGCTAGTGTTTAGTTTGGAGTCATGTTAAGCACGTTGCATTTAAAAGAAATTTTCTTGTTTTTCTGAGGCTAAAAGAGCCAGTTGTTGTTGTTGTTTTTTCATAACAACAACAAATAACACAAATTTCTGTTTATTAGAGCTCTAATGATAAAAGTTGTTTGGTAGTAGTGGTAGTTTTTGCCTAAAAATCCCAAAATATTGTACAAAACTCTCTGTTTTTAGTTGTGCTCTCTCACTCTCTCTCTCTCTCTCTTTCTCTTACCAACTAAACAACTTCTTTAGTAAAGTTATTTTCTATACAAAGTTCTTTTGTGTTTAACAGGTAGAGTTGATTTTTATCACAGCTGTTGTACTTGTACTCTCTCTCTCTCTCTCTCTCTATACAAATTTCTCACTGTTTCCTAGTCTTACTCTTTCTGTATTTGTTGTTATTTACAAATATTCCTTATTAAAACTTTGTGATTGTTTGTTTTCATTTTGTACTCGTTGTTGTAGCAGCAGAGTGTTTATTTTTTTGTTTCTGCTGTTTTTATCATGGTATTGTTTTCATATCTAAATGGGATTTATTCCTAAAGGATATTTATTTTCTTAAGGATGTAGTACGCTGGCTTGTGTACTTGTATTTGTGTGTTATTTTTATTTCAACAAATGCTTGTTATTTCTAATGCTAGTAGGAGTTTTCTCTAGTATTTAAAGTGTTTTTCTTTTACTGTTTTTGTAGTATTTGCTTATTTCAAATATGAAAAATGATGAAAAATAATACTGACCTAGTTTTTGGTCATGACTTGGTTAAATGCTATAACATTAAAGTAGCTTTTTAAAAGCAATTTTTAATAGAATTATGTAAATTTTGAAAAATAAATTTAAAAATTTTTTTAAATATTTAAACAAAAATATATTTTTTATTAAAGCTTTACAAATTTATAAACCAAATTTGTGCAAAAAGAAATTTTAAAAATTTTTTTTACAACTTAAAATTTTTTTCAAAATTTAAATAATTTTTTAAAATTTCTCTATAAAAGTTAAAAATTTTTTAAAAATTTTCTTTAATTTAGTTTATTTTTCTCTAATTTTGATTTTTATTAGATTTGGCAAATTCTAAAAATTTGAAAAATATTGCCTACTTTTAGGGGCTAAAATTTGTTTAAAAAATTTTTTGGTATAAAATATTTGCATTTTACAAACTTTTTTAAATTTGTATTTTTTGTGCATAAATAAGCTAATTTTGATTTTCAATAATTTTGAAAATCTATAGCCTTTGTAAAAGTTATGCACATTTCAAAGTTTTCTTAAGAAACAAATTTTTTGAAATTATATATCTTAACATAAAAAAAAATTAAAAATGTTTTCAGCTTTATTAGTTAGTAGGCGAATTTTGATTTATTTTGTTTTAAGTATATCTTAAATATTTGTTTTATAAAAATTTATTAAAAAAAAGGGTCAAGAAATTTTTTAAAAAAAATTTCTCTAGAAATTTTACAAATTTAAATTTTTTATAATTTTGTATTTTTTGTACTATAATAAGCTAATTTTGATTTTTAACAATTTTTAAATTCTTGAAAATTTCTAAAAGTTATAAACAAATGAATATTTTCCTAAGTCAAAAAAAAATTTGAAAGATAAATAAAAATTTTAAAATTTGTTTTAGATAACGAAATTCCTACAAGAATTTCAATTTATGTTTATTTTAAGAATTTCTTAAATTTGTGTTTAATAAAAAAATCTTGATAAAATTTAACTCTTTTAAACAAATTATTGAAATTTTGCCAAAAAAAAGTCATAAAATTTCAGCAAAAATTCTTCTTAAGAAAACACTCTTCATTTATATCTTTAAAATAAACAAAGAAGTAAAATATTGCAGCATTTTTCATAATCAAAGACAAGTTCCTTAAGAAAATGTTTAACTGTCAGTTAAACAAACATACTTTAAGAGTTTTAATGCACAGAAAAACACACACACAATTCTAAAAATGAAACTCCAAAAAATACTTAACACTCAAATTCAAAACAATACCACCAAACCTAACATAACTAAAAAACTAACTCAATATTGGCTAAAATACTCTATAACAACTCAATATTTAATACAACTCTCTCAATAAAATATGACTCTTGCAATGCTCTCCAACATTAAACAAAACTCTCCACATTCACAATCTTTTACAATTTTATTGTTTTTAACACACTCATTTAAAACACTCTTAACTAACACACATCACTCCACTCTTAAGTAACTCATTTTTAGCTCAATATTAACTCAAGTGAGTCAAATTTAAATTCTACCTGTTAAATGCATTTCATTTGGACGAAAAATTCCTTTTTTTAACAAAAGGGAAATTTTTTATTATAGCGAGAGAGAGAGAGTTAATATAACAAAAGAGAAAGAGCATAAAAGAGAGAGAGTATGTTTGTAAATGTAAAAGAGCTTAACAGAAAATATACTCTCACAAGAGCTAATGTGCAACTCTATTTTACTTAACATTACAGTTAGTTTTCATTTTAATTTAAAACTGCATTTAGTTGCCTCTATGCCTTGCTAGGTGAAAGGTCAAATCTGGAAAGTAGGTTGTTTGACTCGCACATATACGTAAGCCGTTGCAAGCAATACCACTTTGTGGTTGTATGTATGAAAAATTACGTAAAATAAAGAATATTAAGTGTAAAGAGATTTCAATGTGATTCATTTAAATGATGAGAAAGTTGTGGAAAATTGGAATACAGATTTGAAATAATAAGACCTTTGAACTTTCATTAAAATTGGGGTAATCGCTTAAACCTCATCTCAAGTCACTTAGTAGTGGTTTAAGATATGTCAAGACGTTCAGTTTTAACTTAATTTTGAGAACATATAATCATGTTCGCTTCATTCCAAATGAGATGATTTCTTAGCAGTTCAAGTTTCATTTTCACGCATAATAATCTTGCACTATTAAGACACATGATCTTGAAACACTTTTCAAACGATCACCCTTCTAACTAATACATACACGCCTCTAACTCTTTCTTCCAATATTTACTTATGTTGTCAAATTAAAGAATCAGTTTTAACTTCTCGACGATCTGATTAGTATTTCACATGATCATGTAAGATCAAGTGATCACTGTAATAAACCGCGCAATCTTAAAGATCACTTCAAAGAATCAAAATTATTAGTTTCAATTTTGATGCTTTGAAATTAGGGGTCGGGTAAATTTCATCTTCAACCGCACAATCTTAAATATAATTGCAAAAGATCAGAAAGATCAGAACAAGATCAATCATTCGGCCCAAAACAAAGTATAACTCAGAGCCTAGGGTTTACTCTTCTAAATTCTTAAGCTAAGCTGAAACCAATTCTGAATTGACGATCAATTGTCGGTTTGCAACATTTTTGACTCATCGACTTCTATCGATTAGCATTTTACGTCATTTTGTAAGATTAGAGATCTTCACCAAGCACCAAGTGTAATTCAGAAATAAGCATTTCACATGATCAAGGATCTCTTTGATAAACCCTACAATCTTAAAGATCATTTAAAATAATCATATGTACATATACATAAGTATGTACATACGTCTATGGTAAAGAAAAGATTTATCTTCTCTGTATCACAACTGTCGATCATATCGTTGGTCTGCGTAATTTTTTTACTTATCGACTTAGAAGCGTATTGTCACGAATGAAAAAAATAACTTTTGATCATTTGATGATCATTTTAAGTTTGCATGATCTTCAAAAAGTGAAATTGTAAGCAATCTTGTAATCTCTCAAGCAAGTTTCAAACACGGCGAAAGTTTACCTCAAAGCGACTAAAGATTTCTTACATTGATAAGTATTTTATGATCACGATTTTCAATAATCATATAACGATCATGTAGGATTGCATGATCTTCAAAAAGTGAAATGGTAAACCATCAAGTAATATCTCAAGAAAACCGCATACGTGGCAAAAGTTTACCAGGAAGCGTTTAATGACTTTTGATTAGTATTTTATGTTCACGATCATGATCAGTAATATTTCTCAATAAAGGCATTAAGTTTTATAAACTGAGTGCAAATCTGTGTAATTTTTGTCAAAAAATGATCATGATCATGATTGCAAGATCTTCAAAAAGTGAAATTGTAAACCAACTTGTAATCTCTCAAGTAAGTTTCAAGCGCGACGAAAGTTTGCCTTAAAGCGGCTAAAGATTTCCTACTTATAGTCATTGATAAGTATTTTATGATCACGATCTTCAATAATCCTATAACGATCATGTAAGATTGCATGATCTTCAAAAAGTGAAATTGTCAACCACCAAGTAATCTCCCAAACAAACCGCATACAGGACGAAAGTTTTCCTAAAATTGGTTAAAGATTTTTGACTTATCGTCGCTAATAGGTATTTTGTGATCATGATCATATAAGATTGAAGTTATATTTCTCATTAATGTTATGAAGTTTAGCAACTAAGATATTAGGGATAGTTCTATGCTGGATGCGTATCTAAATAGCCGTTTACATAGTCGACCTGTGTAATTTTTAACATATCAACTTAGATTAGTATATAACTTAAGATTAAAGATCTTCTCAAAAGAATTCTCTTCAATAAATGGCACGAATTTAAAGTATAACAAAGGCCGACAAATTTGTAACACAAAAACTAAAGGATTGAACTGCACTGAATCTGAATCTGGCGCTGTTATAACATCTCATCTCATCATCTAAAAAATGGAGTTTTTTCAAACTTCAGGATACAATAGCTCAAATCCTATGCGTGAGGAAGAAAATCTGAGCGGCTCAATCCTTTAGAAAAGTATAGCATGGTCTCAGGGTTTCGATTTTTTCAAATTTTGTCGGCCTGTGTAACTAAGGATGGAATCGTTAACCATCAAATAGTAAACGTTCAGATTCTAAAACAATCGCATCCTAATCTAAAACTTATTAGTGTTAGAGATCACCTTCGTTCCTCAATATGATTTCCATGAAATGATTTGTAGC